GGGGCTTCTGAGGAGGCAGCCTGGGAGGTCACTGTCACACTGGGGCTTTCCCAAACCAAGGCTGGAGAGAGGAATGGAGCCCTGGCGCCCCAGCCCAAGGTACCCCTGCTCTCTGCTCGCTCTGTCCTGCTGAGCCCCCTTCTGCAGCCCCTCCTTCTGGCGGCCCTGTAGCCTGTGTCTCTGTCCTTGGCCTCCTCCTCCCCGCGGTCCCCCTTCCCTTCTCTCCCTCTCTGGGCTCCTTCTCTGCAGGACCCACTCCCAACTGGATCCTCACCCTGTTCCCGGGATGTTCCCGGGATGTTCCCGGGATTGCTTCTGAACGCACCCCTCCCGCCCCCCCCCCAACCCTGTGCCTCCCCCCCAGGCCAGCCTCTGGGTCTGAAAGTCTGTTGGGCATGTCTGGCCCTGCCTGTGCCGGGTGATGCCCACTTTCAGAGGCTTCCGGAAGTTCCTGTGCTCTATTAAACGCTTTGAATCTAACCACAGGGTGGTCGAAGCAGTTGGTGGATTTCCTTTCAAGCACTTGAATCGATTTTCTCTCATATTTATGATGTGGTTTGAAGTGTAGGGGTTCGGGACCCCCCAAGGAAGAATTCTTGAAACATCTCTGGTGCAAAAAAAAAAAAAAGTGGTTTTATTAAAGCACGGGGACAGGACTCGTGGGCAGGAAGAGCTGCACTTGGGTTGCTAAGAGTGAATGATAAGGGAGTTAGAGACAACGTAAGACTCTAAGGCATTTTGGAAACAAGATTTTCAGGATCTTGAGGGGCTAGCTGCTGTTAGGACAAGGTCATTTATTACTGTTCAGTAAAAACAAAGTCAGCAGGGGTGCCTGGGTGGTTCAGTCGGTTAAGCATCCGACTTCGGCTCAGGTCATGATCTGGTAGTTCTTGGGTTCCAGCCCCACATCGGGCTCTGAGCCTGGAGCCTGCTTCAGATTCTGTGTCTCCTGCTCTCTCTGCCCCTCTCCCACTCACATTCCGTCTCTCAAAAATAATTAAATTTTAAAAATTAAAAAAAAAGAATTAATTGAACTGAGGTCTTGACAGAGCTGTTCTTTTGGGATAGAGAAGTTTCTCTTTCTCTTTGCTATTTTTCTAATGGGTTGGGGGTAGGGCGGGCAGGAAAACATGAGTGTGTGTGCCACCGTGCCCAGGGCAGGCCACCCACCAGGGACAACTCCAGAGGGCACTTTCTGCATTTTCTGTTTTCTCTCCTTTACCCCCAGAAACCCAATGGACAGGATAGATCCTAAGACCTTCCGTTTCCACTTTCCAAACCTGCTCTATGCTTCTGGGCGGAAACTCTGTTATCTCTGCTTCCAAGTGGAGAGAGAAGACTACTTCTCGTGTAATGACAGCGACTGGGGAGTTTTTCGGAACAAGGTATGCACCCCCCCCCCTCCCTGGGGCCCTATCAGGCAGGAGGAGTCAGGGGGCAGTGAGAAGAAGAATGTTATAAGTAAGATGCCAGATGGGGGCTCTTAGTGGTGGATGCTCCTTCCCACAACATTGTCCTAAGTCATGGACCCAATGAGCTCCCTGCTTGACCCTCTGAGAACCTGATACGGGATGGCATTTGACCCATCCAATGAGCCTCGTTCAGAGAGTCTGCTGGCATTCCGGCCATCTTCAAATCTTGTCCTGGACCTTGGCCTCTGGCAGTCTTGGATGAAAGAGCATCTTTCGAAAGTCAGGGCCTGTTGGACACCATTGCCTTCTCTGCCCTGGTAATGGCTCCGTTGGTAGAGCCGTCCCCTGGCCACACGGCTGACTCCTCCGTTCCCAGGCCCTCTGACCTCTCAGAGGACAGCCCACGCCCCTCGTCCTGCCTACCCCTGGCCTGCTCCCAGCCACAGCCTCGATGTCCCCGGAAGGAGGTCACGGCACCAGTGACCAGCATCAGCAGTTGATACAGCCAAGCCACCACCCTGCAGCCCTGTCCCCTAACCACTGCCACTCCTGAGACAGGTCCCACCACACCCCTGCCCTCTCCCCTCCCCTGATACTGCAGACTTTGCAGAGCCTGTTTCCAGGAGAGAACCATGATGGGCTGGGTCGGGGGTACGCTTCAATAGTACTAACAGGTGAAAGGTCGTTTCACCTGTCCTAGTACCTGGTGTTCAAAGAGCTGAAGGCAATTTATGAAATTAGTATTGATAATGTATTAGGCAATATATCTAAGAGATTCTTTCAAATTGTAATGAATATAAAAGTTCTTCATGAGGTCATTTACTTTCTTCTTTTTTACTATGTTGTTGGAATGGGATGTGTATTTACCCCCCCGCCCCCGGCCGGTTCACACCAGCCAGGTAAAGTGGTCTGAAGATGTGTGTGGCTAGTGGTTCCCCTGTGGGGCACATGGCTGCCGAGGTGCCATCACCCAGGAAGCCAGCCTAGACCCCAAAGGGCATGGCTCAGGGCAGGATGGATGGATGGATGGATGGTTGGATGGATGGATGGATAGATGGATGGTTGGATGGTTGGATGGATGGTTGGTTGAATGGATGGATGGATGGATGGATGGTTGGATGGTTGGATGGATCGATGGATCGATGGTTGGTTGGATGGATGGATGGATGGATGGATGGATGGATGGTTGGTTGGATGGATGGTTGGATGGATGGATGGATAGATGGATGGATGGATGGATGGATGGATCGATGGTTGGATGGTTGGATGGATGGTTGGTTGAATGGATGGATGGATGGATGGTTGGATGGTTGGATAGATGGTTGGATGATTCGATGGATGGACGGATGGATGGATAGACAGACGGTTAGACTGATGGACAAATGGATGGATGGACGGTTGGACTGATGGACAGATGGATGAATGGACGGTTGGACAGATGGACGGATGGTTAGATGGTTGGACGGATGGACAGATGGTTGGATGGTTGGATGGATGGTTAGATGGATGGCTGGGTGGTTGGATGGACAGATGGACAGATGGACGGATGGACAGATGGATGGATGGATGGATGGATGGATGTTTGGACTGATGGATGGATGGTTGGTGGTTGGATGGATGGATGGATGGATAGATGGATGGAAGGAGAATAGATGTTAGAATTGATGCATGGTGGATAACTATGGCTCAAGGGATGGCTCAGTAAAAAAAGACAGGGCAGGGAGAGATGGAAAGCAGTGATAAGTCAGTGAACGACATACCCCTGAGGCTCCTGCCCCTTTACTCCTCCTCCCACGGCACCCAGTCCTGCCACTCTGTCTGCTCTGCCAGCCAAGAGTGTCCCCTTTCTCTTCTCTACTTCTCCCAGGTCCATCCCTGGGCTCGATGCCATGCAGAACAGTGCTTCCTCTCTTGGTTCCGTGACCAGTATCCATACCGTGATGAGTATTACAATGTCACCTGGTTCTTATCCTGGAGCCCCTGCCCCACCTGTGCAAAGGAGGTGGTCGAGTTCCTGGAGGAGTACAGGAACTTGACGCTGAGCATCTTCACCTCCCGCCTCTACTACTTCGGCCACCCAAATTACCAGCAGGGGCTTCGCAAGCTATGGGACGCAGGGGTCCAGCTGGACATCATGTCCTGTGATGGTGAGAGCAGAGGGGAGCTGGGGACCCAGACTGTGGGAGAGAGTAGTACCGAGCCAGGGGTGGGGGAGGATCTAGAATGTCCCCAGGGCGAGTGAGTGGGAGGAAACTGAGGCAAGACTGGTGGCACTTGGCAGGGAAGAGACTAGGCCCTGAGGAGGGGGGCACAAAGGGTCAGAGGGCAAGACCTCCCAGGGCCCACATGACTGCTCTCTTCCCTCTTTATCTCAGATTTCGAATACTGTTGGGACAACTTTGTGGACCACAAGGGAATGCACTTCCAGAGATGGAATCTGTTAAATGATTGTGATTTCCTGGCTGCAGAGCTTCAGGAAATCCTTAGGTAAGTGCATGCTCAGCCTCCTGTGCCTCTGCTGTTCCTTGCGTCTCCCACCGCCGCACCTCCCTCACCAGCGCCTCAGGTCTCCACCCCCTCTGCCCCACCCCTGCTTCCTCCTGTGCATCCTCCCTCCTCCCTCAAGGCCTCCTTCTCCCCCATGAGGGAGCCCCCAGCCTGGTTCCTCCCATCTCACCACATTCACCTTCTTGTTAATAAACTGAATGTAAATGGGCTTGAGTATGTCTAGCTGTGAAAATTGGAAGATGTGAGTAACATCCTTACCGGGGATGTGACTTATCAGAGAACCAGGGTGCTTGAGGACAGTGACCGCATTCCTCTGCTAGGGCTTCCAGAACAAAACCCCACAGACTGAGGGACGTCACGGCAGGTGTTCGTTTCCTCACAGCGTGGACACTGGAAGCCCGAGATCAAGGTGTCCCTGGGTCAGGCTCCTCCTAGGGCCTCTCTCCTTGACCAGCAGAGGGCCACCTTCTTGCTCCGCCCTGGCATGGTCTGTCCTCTGTGCTCACTGTGGGGAGCCCCTGGTGCCCCTCTGTGTGTCCCAGTTTCCCTTCTCATAACAACATCAGGCAGATTGGATCAGGCCCATCCTAAGGGCCTCCTTTTAACAACCATCTTTTTAAAGCCTGTGCCTCAAATGTAGTCACATTCTGAGGCACCAGGGGTTGGGACTTTAGCAGTTGGATTTGGGGGACACACGGTTCGGCCTCTTGGAGCTAAGAGGGTGGGAAAGAGCAGGATCCTTGTTCTGTGTACCTGTCTCCTGAGTTCTGCCTGACCTGCCACCCCCCGCCCCGTCTCACCTGCTTCCATTCCAGCCCTTGCTGCCCTGGACCCCCCACCGCCTGTCACCGGGTCACCGCCACAGTCATCCTGGCTCCCTTGTCCCTTCTCCTCTTTTCCACACGGCTGCCAGAGGGAAAGTTCTGGACAGGTTGCAGCCTGGGGATGAGGACAGAGAGTGAGCAAGAAAGTAGTTATTAAGTAAACATTTAAATAAGTGTGTTTTATTTTTTTTAAACATAGGGTTGGGAATGGGAGGACTTTTCCATAAAGCAGAATAAAAAGTGGTAGGTGGCTGAGAGTCAAGTTGGGGACACAGCGACACAAGCAGAAGCATTAGAGACAATAAAGCAGAAACAGAAACAGAAACAGAGGGAACACCTGGTCCTTCGACCGCCGAGCTGACTACCTCATGAACTTTGGAAAGTCAGTGGCGGTGCCCCACGGGGTGGCCTGGACCAGGGCACGGTGAAAAGGAGAAGAGATCAGCCTGAGATGCTGAGCCTGAGATGCTGGGATTCTGGGCAGACAAAAGCCAGGCAGGAAAAGCAGCAGGGCAGGTGTGCGGTTGGTCACATCCAGAAAATCACTGTGGAGAGCGTCTTGGGTCCCACACGGACCCGTTGTTTCTTCCTCTGACCTTGGCCCCATTAGGTGTGCATAGCGGTGGCCCCTGACACTTGTCTCTTCACTCCCTTCCCTGTCTGCACTGCTGCCTGGAGTGGAGGGCACGGTGCAGAAGAGTTCTGGCTGTTCAGTCTGTCCCGCTGGGTCTCCCTGTCCACGCGTCCTCCAAGCTGGGAGGCACCGAGGGCCACACCCGTGGACCACACGCCTCTCCGCTGTCCCGGTCATGCAAACGGGCCCCCGTGGCCAGCTCACAATATCTGCTCCTTCTGGAGAAAAGAACCAGGCAGGAGGCCCATCTTAGAGATCCACAGGGGCCTCCGGGAGGTCTCCTCCAAGAGTCACTGTCGCGCTCTGGCACACCCCCCTTCTCTGCCCATCTCCGAGGGCTAGCGGGAGTTCTCCAGGCCAGAGCTGCAGGAGTGCTGTCACGAGGGAAAGGCGAGAAGGGCTTTGAGCCTTGCTGCTTACCCTTAGTGCTTCTCAGGCCAGAGGCCGCGTAGCTGTCAACTTGAGCCACAGCTGAGTGTGCAGATCCGATCACTCTCTTGGAAGGGCCCGGCTCATTCTGGAATCTTCCATTGGCTGGAAACTCTGGACACTGAAAGAGATGGGAGTGGAGGGGACGCCATTCCCGGGAATCCTCCAACTCTTGCCCACGCTCTTGTTACCCTCGCCTCTTGGGGCCATCCCAGGGCCGGTGAGCAGAATGAGGTGGTGTGGGGGCACCAACCGGAAGAAGCTCTTTGGGGACTCGCATGCGCGTGCGGTCTGGCCTGGGGTGACAGGTGTCTGCTCCAAGGCCTCCTCTTCCTGTCTAGGAGTCAACTTTCCCGGTTGCTCTTTGTTTCTCCATCTGGGGTCCTGGTGGACACGTGGCGAGGCAAGCACACAGCTCACCGGATGCACGCTTCAAGCCCAGATCCCTGATCCCTGACCTGGGAGGCCTTGTAGGGGCAGCAAGGGCCCTCCCCTTGTGCCCCCCACCCACTCCTATCCATGGAATAATGAGGAAGCAGGAGGAGCCAGGCCAGGCCCCCTGGAAGGCATTCCAGCTCGGCCATGGCTTTGCTGAGTGGCTCCAGAGAGTACCTTAGCCTCTCCGTGCTGGGACCTCATCTAAGATGGGAGGGCAGTGATCGGCCCCTCCCAAAGCTCTTGGGGGCTGTGGTAGAGGATGTGCTCAACACACCTGCCTTCTCCTGGAATGGGGATGAAGATCTGCAGGGCTGAGCCCTGGCCCTCCCTTTGCAGACACCCAGCGTCCTGCTGGGGAACTGAATGGCTCCTAAGGGTCACACAGTGGTGGACAGGAGAGGGCTCATCCCACTCAGAGAGCCCACCCCTCCCCAGCCACCGGCTTCTGTCCTGCTCTCTCCAGCCAGTGTGTCCCAACCCCCTCTGGCAAAGTACTTTCTCTTTCCCTTTTCATTAACCTGGGTCCTGCTGCCCAATGGGGCCCATCTCCTTCTGAGGGAGGCTGTGCCCAGGGCGGGGGAAGGCCTCGGGAGAGGTGGCTCTGAGCCTGAGGAAGTGCAACCATCTGAGGGCCCTCCCACCCTTGGGGCCAAGGCAGGAAGGAGGTGGGGCTTCTGAGGAGGCAGCCTGGGAGGTCACTG